TAGGTTTTCACTCGATTATTCTGAAAACTAACATTGCCACGTGATTCAGCATGGTCGATAACCTATGTTTTCATTCATTTCCCACAGGCCTAAGCCTAACGGCAGGAGAGTGCTAAGGCTTCAGGAATAGCTCCTGAACCATGGGTTTTCAAGATGTCGGTTAGATCCAGTTTTGTAGAGGACACTTCAGACTATATATGCCCCCCATATATCAATAGATCCTATTTGAATTTCGAAAACACCAGGCTAGTTTCTCCAAGATTCTCTTGAAAACCGGCTTCGAAAATTCGGTTTGCTTGTGGAAAGATACTCTCAAGCTTTGTCCATCGAATGGTGAAAACTGCAAGTCTCTATCTTTATTTGATGCTGAGTTATTAAAAAAGTAACCACTGCTCTTGTATTTTGGCTCTAATAGTACTTGTATTGATAATACAATAGCTTTTTAACTGTTTTGCTGATAAAAATTAAATTCGACCCTACGGAACATTATTCTTTCACATGATTCTCTCCATGCATAGTTTTTCAATTGGGAAAATGTTGTTTGATAAAGAAGATCAAAATCAACCGACAGCGAACAACTAATATGAACACATATCTGTTCAAAACTTAATGCTATGACCAATAGTATTAGCTTCTACTGCTTAAACTATTTGTATTCTATTGCAGTAGAGATGACTTTAACAAATTTCCACAGGCACTAATTGAATTTCAAGAAGAATGTGGTCAAAATATTATCGATCCTTATATAGGTGGTCCAATTCATTATACGGAGTTTATGGATGGAACGAAATGATCGTAGAGGATGTTGACACAAAAGTGGAAAGAAAAGTGTAAGAGGATACTACTAATTCGAAGTTATACTTCTTCCTATGATGAATATATGATGAACTTTTAGTCTAAAAAAAGTAATATCTAAAATGCCACGAATTACAAAAGTGAATCATTTGTTAACACACCACCATTTCTTCTCATCAATCTTCCATATATTACAAAGACATTATATGGTTTGCCACAACAATTAACAGTTGAAACACACAGGTAAAAATTCCTTTACTCTTGTCTACAAATTAAAAAACATAAGAGTTATGTTTTTCGTAGTAGAAACATGTATCTAACCTAATCACCTACATTCTACTCTTATCAAAAGTGTTTTAGATTATTTTCAAATCAAATTTTCACTGCACATACTAAATATCTGTTATATCTCTTAAGTCTTTTTTCTTTTTCGTTTTGTTCTTATCTTTTGGCATGTAGTAGATATATTAGTTTTTAGTGTCAGTAGGTTGTAATTTTTTTAAAGAGTGGTCGAAATAAAAGTATAATATACATCCACTACGTATTATAAAGCACACGTACAATAATCTCTCAAGGACTTATAAGTAGAGGAAATATAGGTCTCTCACAATGAGTACTATTGCTATGACCTGCATCTCCTCAGATACAGTCATAATATAAAATCCTGTTATTGCACAACTCTTGCTTCATCCTGGGATTTTCCTAACTCTTTCTGTTGTTGTGGAACTCCTGCGCAACTCTTGCAAAACACTTGCTCAACTTGTGTACTATATCTAGCCGTTCACTTGCTTCAAATAAAGGAGAGAGAGTGGGAGTTGGATCTCACAACCATATATGGTAAAAATCTCAGCTCATTTGTGTCATCCGTACTCCAGCAATAGTTTGTTCTTTAGACATATGTCAAAAGTCAGGTTTTTGCAACCGAACATGGTCTGTTTGGACTACTCTCTCTGGCGTCGTGCAGTAGAATCAAAGGTTTACTACGAAACAACGTTAGATTTTTAGGGAAATGATGAGAAGACCTCCGGGACCTCTTGTCAAAAGCTCACCCAGCACCTCGTAAAATCGAGAAAATTGTTTTTTCAAAACTCATTGAATCATACATCATTCGAGACAGAATTTCACGCTGATTCTGAATATCACCATTTCCGGTTTCAAACGTACTTCTGTATCTCGGAAAATCCAGTTTTCTAAAGTTTTTCGAATCCAAAAATATTTTGCATATTTTTCTATGAAGACAATATCCTAGAAATTTGGCGATAGACGGCGCTATCAGCTTTCGAATATCACATTTAGAATATTCCGAATGTCGATTTTTATTGCAAAAAATCGCTTTAATCTTGAAAAACCGCGTACTAGATTCCGTATTTTTTCCTCAAGGCTAAACGAAAAGCATTGCCACTATGGAAATGATATGAAATATACAGTTTTTGATGCTCTATTGAATGAACCTGCTTTGAGTCGAAAACAAAATAAGAATGTTTTCAAAAATCGGGTTTTGAACATTAGGGTTTTAGAAAACCTTCGAAATTTATTAAACACACAGTTCAATAGAGCTAGGCTCAAAATTTGTGTGTTATATACAAGAGACTTCCCTTCTGCACATGGCACATAGGCTATCGGGCACGCTGATTACTGTGACAATGTTTGTTATTATTGTCCGTGTTAAGAAAACTGCAAAAGACCAATTTTTCAGAGAATACGATTTTTCCACTTTAACCCTCCTAAGCTGTGCAGCAGGCGAAAGTAAATTTATTTTGAAAATTCGAAGCAATTTTGTTGAGAAATGAAGGCGCTGTAAGATTTTTAATTTAGTACGGTCACAGTGGAAAAATCGTATTTTCTGAAAAATTGTTCTTTTGCAGTTTTCTTAACGTGGACAACAAACCAGACATTGTTACAGTAATCAGCGTGTCCGATAGCCTGTGTGCCCTGTGTTTTTAAGGTTCCTAGAGCTCAGGTTTGGCCGATAGGTAGGTCCTCGGAGATTGCCTGTATTGTACGCACCATGATGGATGGAGCTCTAGGACCTGTGTCACTCTAAAGAGTGAAGTCTCTTCTATATAACACAAATCTTGAGCCTAACTCACTATTCAAAGTGTACGAACGATTACCTCGGACTTTTTTCTTCGAAAGGTGCACCACGGTAAACCTGTTCCGGAAACTTCATTATTTTATGAATATATTTGCCCCGGTATATAGTTTAAGAAACTGAAAATCGGAGATCTTTAGCTCTTGTTGTTCAAAAGTTATAAGCGATTTCCCAAGCGCATTCTTTCAGACGAACGGTAATAGATGCATTTGCATGTGCAACTAGCAATAGTTAAATCGGTCGATTAATCGATAGTTGCAACTCAGGAGAAATACAACAAGTTACTAGACTTCCACTGTCGTTACCAAATAATTGCAGTGGAGTATAAATCTAGTAATCTATATGAATCGGGCAATAGTAGATATTTCATACTTGGGATCAGATAGTCCCATCAGACTGTTGTTCTATGCAAAAGTCATAAAATTTTTGAATCAGGCTGTGTCTGTATTTTAATTCCTGTTTGTACATACTTTGGAGTATGATACAGATACGTAGTCTATATTCTGTATATAATTTATGGGGTAGTAAAAAAATGCGACATATTATAATACGGAAAAAGATAGAATGAAACGGCACGTGAATTATCAATTTCTTCCTTTTTTTTGCAAAACTCGACCATTAACACTTTTTGCTGTGAATTAAACATGGATCGACCGGTGGCAAATGAAAAATCTCTGCTAACTCTTTATACCATGCTTCTTGTGCCCAGAATTTGCGAAATTGACGCTAAAAAGCAGCTTTTACTTAAAAGCAGGCTCAAATCTTTTTAGAATAACTAAATCTCGATGCTTTTAGTTTTAAGTTCAGCCAGTAACCGTGTCCGCCATCTTGGTTATCTATTTTTTATGGATACTATGCAGTTAAATGCCCTCAATGCGCTGAAACATACATCGGAGAAAACTAGTTATCATTTAATTGAATATTAGTATGATCAAGGACATTTTCAACATTGGATATTGCATTTGAGTGGTATAAGAAAATTGATGCGTATCAGATTTCTGCAGTACAAATCACCGAAAATTGATGTTCTGCTAAAATATCTGATATAACGTCTCCAAACTTTTTGAATGTAGACAGCTCAAAGTCTGTATGCAACTATTAAATTTCCTAGTAGACCAGACTCGGATTAGAAGGTCATCCTTAACCCTTATACTACCAAGCGGGATCCAAATGGACCCCACTGCAGAAAACGGACATTAATATCTGGTATTTTTCTACTTTCAAACATATTGAGCTTTTTCCCCCGTCGATAATTTAAAGTTGACGATTAACAGGAAATTTCTTTTTTGTGCGTCAACTATGAGTATTAGATATAGCTTCGTACCTTGATCTGCTTACTAAAAGACAGCAAGGTGAAGAAAATGTGCAAACAGTCCAATTATTAGTCATGAATACAATCAATCATCATTTATCTAATTCGATATAGTTATAACCTAATGAAAATAAGCTCCTATCGTGGTTTGAGACTACCCAACTAGTAAAGTGGGTGACTCAACGAGCTTCGAATGTACAATTAGGATTCTTTGTTTCTCTCTCCTATTCATTCTTCTTTTTGCTTGAACAGAGTGTAGAATTGTATCAGTGCTTCGTAAATGGTCTCAGAAAAAGGTGAATCAGTTTTGGATATACAGCTTTATTTTCTCTCTGCTATTACGAGCATTTCAAAAACATTTTTGCTTCATGGATTACTGTGAAGATTGAGAATTCGTTTGACTTGGACTTGACCGAGACTTTTTTTATCTTCTCGCCTAATCAGATCATAAGACTGCTCTCTCTCCTTTTGATGTTGTTACTATCACATTGTCATCGTGAGCACTACCACATATCTAGTTATACATCTTTCTTCTCTTGCATTCTGTTGACAATCATCGATAACACACGTATTTTCTTTCTATATTTCTGATGCGTTCTGGTGCACTTCTTCCTCGTTTGAATTTCTATATATTCGTTCACATTAAGAGGAACGGGCCTGATTCCAATGGTGATATATATAGTACGAGAGGAGCGGACTCTGTCTATATAGATTTTTCATAATTAAAATAGTTTTTCCTAGCGAAAATAGGTTTTGAGCGCTTTCCAGTATTTCGCATTTCCTAGCCAAGAGATTTGCGCTAAAATGAAAACAGAATACACCAACCGATAGAGAATTTCACGCTCTATGAGTTTCTTAAAACGATCCCGTTCGCACAAGCGATCTTCACCTGAAAAAGCCTGATTTAATGAGAATGACCGGAAAATACGGAAAAAGAGA